ACCCAGCACAGCCAGTTAGATAGGCTTTGTGGTAAAAAGCTAGACATGTGGTTGTTTTTAAAAGAACAAAATAAAACAATCCCTTACGACCATTTGTCGATACTGAGTCTGCTGAGAGGTGTTCAAATAGTGTCTCAGATCTGACAGGCTCTAAGGAGTGAGGAATATTTATTACTAAACTCATTTGGTCTCACCAGATTATAACCAAGTGAATTTAGGAAATTGAAAAAAAATTATCCAAAGAAATTGGAAGTACAGAATCACTCATTTTAAATCTCATTCTTTAGGGATGGATGGCAGTGCTGATTCTAAATAAAACCCAACCTGCCATTTTGATTATAGGTAGTGATGATGGGGCCAATATCACTGTAGAAATGGCTTATTTATTGACACTGAAAAACACTAAATAAATATATTTTCATGGGTCAGTGCAAAAATTTATTGAAGTGGTTTGTTGCAGGGAGGGGCTGCTTGTTCGTCCTGGCCACCCAGCTAGCTCAGTTGGTAGAGCATGGGACTCTTTAATTTCAGGGTTGTGGGTTCGTGCCCCACATTGGGCTCCCAGCTAGCTTAGCCCTGAAATACCCACACAGAGACTGTATTAATTAAAACACTGCTTGGCCATTAGTTTTAACTTCTTATTGGCTAACTCTTACATACTAGTTTAACCCATCTCCATTAATCTGTGTATCGCCACATGGCAGTGGCTTACCAGAGATTCTAACTGGCGTCCGTCTCAGACAGAAGATTCATTGTTTCTCTCTGACTCTTCTTTCTCCTTTCCAGAATTCAGTTCTGTCTTCTCCGCCTGCCTAAGTTCTGGCCTATCAGGCCAAAGCATTTTCCTTATTCATTAACCAATACAAGCAACACATAGAAAGAAGGACCTCTTACACCATCCATGATCTTCATCCATGATCAACCCAAATAGTACAGCTGCTGCTGTTGGCCAGAGATGGTAGTTCAAAGAGACAGATCCAGCCTGGCAGTGGTGGAGAAAGCCTTTAATCTCAGCGCTGGGGAGCAGAGGCAGGTGGATGTCTGAGATCAAGCACAGCATGGTGTACAGAGCAAGTTTAATAACTGCCATGGTTACATAGAGAAACCTTGTTTCAAAAATTAGTGAATGAATGAACAAACAAATAAATAAAATGAAAATGTAAATCAACATAAAAATAGAGGAACTCATAAAATTAAGAGAAGACAGTGCAATCACCACACTAACCTCATGTTTAATGATGTGTCCTGGCAGAGGTCATCAAGAAAATTTAGGCACAGAGAAGAAGGTCTCAGTGGGAATGGTGGGAGATGAGAGGGGATGAACTTGGGTAAAAATGCCCCCAAATACATCGAATACAATATATAAAATTGTCAAAAAAAAAAAAAAGAAAAAGTAAGTTCTAAAAGGACATTTAATGCAAAACCATTAAAAAATGGGTAACATCATATAGATCATCATCAATACTGAATTTCATAAGGGACAAGGGATTAAATCATCTCCAGTGCTGGAATTTTTTGAAAAGTGTTCATGCTAACTAAGGTGAAATCATTTACATTTCAGAGGTAAGATGGTCAAGCTAAGGACATTACCAAAATATTAAGTTACTTCTGATGTTGTAAACAATATTCACGCCAGAATTTGGGAATGAAACTCAATTACAGATTGAACTTTTAGTTTGTTGAAATAGGAGCGGCAGCAGGGCTGCGTCCCCGGCACCCGGCCGCCCGCATGGCTAGCTTATGCCCCGAAATAATTACACGGAAACTGTATTCTATTAAACACTGCCTGGCCCGGCTAGTTCCAGCTTCTTATTGGCTAGCTCTTACATATTGTTCTAACCCATTTCTAATATTCTGTGTAGCCCACGAGCTGGCTTACCAGGGAGGATCTTAACCTGCGTCTGTCTGGAGCGGGAGAATCATGGCGACTCCCCACTCAGCTTCCTTTTCCCAGCATCCTGTTCTGTTTTCTCCGCCTACCTAAGGGTTGGCCTATCAAATGGGCCTAGGCAGTTTCTTTATTAGTAAGAAATCACTCCCACATCATTAGTTCATTTTACTGCTCATTTTATCTTTAATGGGGAATCCAAATTCTCAATACCATGTTTCACACACCATAAGTCCTACAGGTAAAGTCTGAATTATGATAAGCTGAAATTAAAGCCAATAATTGCATGCATTTCAACCCAGCTGAATATGGTTTTATGAAAAGTGATATAGCCTTTATATTATGTTTGAGAGACAATTTGAAAACAGATATCAAGATTTTGTGAAATAATATCACTATTTTGGTATAATCACAATCCCATTTTTATCAGCATATATGTTATCTGCCAATGTTATCTTTTGATATTCAATTGGAAATGTCTAGAATTGCAATACTTCATTCAACCTAAAAATATTTTCGATCATGTCTCTTCTAGACATTTATGGGCCTCTTACAGGACCTTCTCAGAGACAAGAGCTTACCCTTTACAGTCACGCTGGATTCACGCCATCAGTATTTCATAGCACCTACACTTGTGAGTTACAGGTCCCAGGAACTGAGCATGCAGGCCTGGAGAGATAGCTCAGATGTCTTAATGGTAGAGACTGCTCTTGCATAGGACCCTAGTTCAGTTCTGAGCACCCATGCTGAATGACTCATAACACTTGTAACCTCAGCTCCTCCAGCCTCCAAGGGCGTGTGTGCTCACATGCACATAGACAAACACAGACATACACATAATCTAGAGTTAAAATCCTTGATGTAAATATCTTCTAGATATGATAGGGAACTACACCTATGAAATCTCAGCAATGTGACTACTCAAATAAGACCTGAACAATGACAACTCCAGTTGAGCTTCCAAAGTGGTTGGGAAAATAGTAGGGGGCCCCATCCCAAGATGAAGAGCAACAGGTAATTATAAACTCCTGAGAGAGGAAGAAATAGTCTTCCCCAAAGATGAGCCCCTCTAATGGTTATCCAATCCTAAGTGGTCAGACTCAAAATAAATATGTATTCAAGAAATAATAAATTAACTCTGTAAGCTGGATATATATAGATTAAGAGGCCTTGATTCTGAATGGGATGGAGCAACCTGGGAGGAGTTAGAGGGATAATGGCTGATGGTATGATTATATTTTAATTTTTCCAATAATTACAAGTGTTAAGCACATTGACACATAAATTAGAACCAAACTATCACAGCCCATCTTAGGAATCACTGAGATCAAAGCTCTGTCCATAAAAGGCAGTTGTGTCCAACAAGTCCATTTGCTTCTTGAAAGCATTGTCCACTAGCCCACAGTGTTCGTGTTGTCCTCACTCACTGTATTTGTTTGTTTGCTCTGCCTTTTTCTTTTCTCTGTGTACCCTTAGCTGTCCTGGAACTCACTCTGTAGACCAGGGTGACCTTTAACTCTAGACATATGTCTGCCTCTGTCTCCCAAGTGCTGGGGTTCAAGGCATGTGCCACCACTGCTTTCCTTAATTTTAAGATAAAAATATACTAAAACAAATCCTATTTTTATATATGTTCAAATTCTTTATTAGATATCCCCAAATTGAAGCCTGGTCCATGGTTTTAAAAGATCTCTTCTAAATGGGTAGCATATAATTAACAATTTTTAGTCTGTAAGGATTTTGTTGCCTATCTGTATGTGCAGATAATGTATCATTTGTATATGGCTCCTTTTCAGGGAGGAAATATCAATTTTAATTATAGCTTGTATAGTAATGTGTATCCCAAAACAGTTATCCCTTCACTGTGACCCAGAAATGCCACAAAGTTCCAACCCCTGGACCAGATGAGTAATTTAGATCCAATTAATATCGGAACTGCAGTTCACAACTAAGACAAGAAAGCCTCTATGTACACCAAGTGTGAAAGGAGGAAATTCCAAAATCTCTGAAAACCATAATGCTGTGGTGGCAAAGCAGGACCCGGGTTGCTCTGTGGTTGTTCTGGTTGTCTGTGCATGCGCGCGCGCGCACGCACACACACACACACGCACACACACACCTCTCTATTCTGTGTCACCTTTCAGAGTTGATCTCACACAGCTCTAACCATCTGTTCTCTAAGCTCAGATCCTCAGCTCACTCCAGTCTATATTAACCTTTTCATGGGCTGGGTCCCTGTCTGTCTCACTTCTGGATCTAGCTCACTAAATAATCATTTAAGATCTTACCAGGACCTTTTTTTATCTACAGAAAATCCTACGCAATGTTGTAGAAAATACTACTACAGTCCTCAGCAGTGAAGTCAGGGCTGATGTAATTTTACTTATGTCTTAAGAGAGAAATGCCAATACATATTGATCAGGAAACTGATGCTTGTCAATTGTGATTTGTTATTATATTAAGTAAGTATGTTGCTAAGACACGAAAACTGGCCACAGGGTATAAATTGTTTTAGGGATATCTCTGTGACACCCTAGCAGTTTAGGAGAGTCAGAGTGAGTGAAGATTAATTCATCAGACTATTCCAACAGATGTTCCTCAGTATGATGAGAAGTCTCAGAGGTTAATGAGAAGATGTGCTGAAACTCTGCCTCACCAAATATGGTGCAGTATCAGCTTTTAATAACTACTGTATAACTGTGTCTCTGTATAAGTAGTGCTACAGATGTTTTGTGGCATATTGGGTATCAGCATTATTTTTTTTAAAAAAAAGGGAAAAAGAAAAAAAATTAAAGAAATTAAAAAAAAATCTTACCAGAATGAAAAAAAAATGTAAGAGATAAGAAAAGCCACACTTTTGTCTCAGACAGAGTAGACTTCCTGGGGTATCAGACCCTCTGCAACCACACCTTAACACCCTCTTTTCCTGGTCTTTATCTTGAATTAGCTCAGAGGATGTCAATGTGGTGACCATGTCGTTTTTACCCAAACAGGAAACTGCCTTGGCTACTAAAGCCAATCAGAGCAGAGGTGCACAGGTTTAAAAGGCCTGTGAGGTCACTGAGCGCTCACCTCCTTCATCCTTCAAGGGCCGTGTCCACTCTGCCCTCCAGCCTGAGCAGCCTCCCAAGAAGATGGCAGCAGTCCTGATTCTCCTGACCTTTCTTCTGCCGCTTGGAGCTGGTGCAGGTGAGTGAACACCTCTGTTCCAGAAGTGCCATCCCATAATACCTCCGTGGAGTCTCTGCCCAACTCTAGTCAGGAACTTCCTGCAGTGAACCAGGAGATTCCTCAATCTCAGGTCCCAGACCAACCCAGACCTGAAGCCTGTCACTGGCTAGATCCTCAACAAGGTCTGAAGAAGAGCGGAGTCCTCAGAGGACATGGTGGGCACTAGCTTCTCCCTGCTCTTTGTGTCACCTGGGGAGTGGATCATCCCCAAAGAGAGAAGTAGCAGAGAAGGTAAGCTTACTAAACAATACATCATTGGCCTTACCTGAACCCAGACCAAGGGCAGGTTTAATCATCAGCCAGCAATGATGTAAGGCAACCAGCTGATGAATATTAGCATTATTTATTAATTCCACCCTCAGGCTGCTAAATCTAGAGGTCCAGGGTGACAGGATGTCTGCTCATTGCTCTATTTGCAGTCTTGTCTTGGTTGGCCCGTCCATTTCTTCCTGCAGTCACCAACTATTCTCTTTGTGCCCGTGGAATCCTCCGGTGTCCCCTCGGCTGTGATTCCAATGAGCTCTGAGCCACCAGCCCTTCAGCTAGGTAAAAGTCATTCTTCCATGCAGCTAATTCTTTTATTGAGAACCTAGGATATGATGGGCACCAGAACAAGAGAACTTTAGAAAATCCCTCTCTAAAGACCTTGGGGTAAAAGGTGACCAAATTGGCAGAAATAAAGACATGAGAGGCGTCTGGAGATTCAATATCAGAGAAAGACTAACATGAGCGACCCAGCATCCCCTTGGTCTCTAGCGTCATGAAGAAAGAAGTTTTTCCCTCCATGTATTTGTAAAGCAAGGGCTGGAGGACAAGTCCTACCCGCCCCTTCTCAGAACAGGGCACTGAGGCTTCAGATTCAACAAAGATCATTTTACGTGCAATGAATTCTGTCCACAACAGTCTTGCGGAATTGCAGATCTCACCCCATCACCCCTCCCTAGATCTTCCCTCCTACCTCATCTGCTGCTCCCAGACACCTCATATTCTTGCCTTTCTTTCAGAGGAGATCATCGGGGGCCATGAGGTCAAACCCCACTCCCGCCCCTACATGGCGTTTATTACATTTGTGAAAGATGATGGCAGAAGTGATGGCTGTGGAGGCTTCCTGGTAAAAGACAACTTTGTGCTGACAGCTGCTCACTGCAGGGGAAGGTGAGGAGGAGCAGTCCATGATTTCTGAGACCCCAAGAGGAGTTTCCATCTTCTACTCATGGATGCTCCTCTGAGAGCTCACTAGAGGGCATGGCTGTGACAATGGAAGTCTGTCATTAGGGAAACTTTGAGGTCAAAGGGTGAGGGGTCAGAGGCAGCAGCACAGTTGAGTTGAAAGCAACTACACTGGTCAGACTACAGCAATGGTTGAGGTTGAAAGTGCACATTAAGAGTCAATGCAAACTTTGGAGTATTGCCTGGAAATAAGAGCAAGTTCCCAGTGTCTAGTGTTCTTGTAAAGTGAAGAGCAGTAGGTCACACCCTGAGGTCCTTCTGTCTCCTCAAGTCCCCTCAGCTAGAGCCCCATCTGCCCACCCAGCCTCTTACAGCTCCTGCACTGTGTCCTCTCTCACTCCACATCTCCCATCTACACTCTGCTCTCTGCAGCTCAGTGAAAGTCATTCTAGGAGCCCACAATATAACGTTCAACGAGAAGACCCAGCAGATCATCTCTGTGGCAAAAGCCATCCCACATCCAGCCTTCAATCCTAAGGATGGCTCCAATGACATCATGCTCTTAAAGGTGAGAACTGCCCCCACAGCTCTCTGAGCTCTGCTTGTTGCAGAGATTGTGCCTCCCCTCCTCTTCTCACCCTGTATCTTTCCTCTTCCATCATGGTTTACAAAGTGTTCCAGGCAAGCAGGCTCCTGACTGAGCTGCTGTCTCCCGCCTCTTCTCTTTCAGCTGGAGAGGAAGGCCAAGAAGACTAAAGCTGTGAGTCCTCTCAACTTACCTAGTAGCAGGGTCCATGTGAAGCCAGGGGACATGTGCTATGTGGCTGGTTGGGGACAGTTTGCCCCGAAAAGTAAACTTTCAGATACATTGCAAGAAGTGAAGCTGACAGTCCAGGAGGATCAGGAGTGTGAGTCCCAGTATCCAGATCGTTACACCAAAGCCATTGAGATGTGTGTGGGGGACCCAAAGGTCAAGAGAGCTTCCTTTTATGTAAGTTTGATTTTCATCCTCTTTGTGTTCTTGTGGGAGGGAAAAGCAATCTGAAACCTAGAGAGCAAGTTTCAAGGGATTCTTTGTTTAGATCTTTCTCCATGGGAACAGCAAGAACCAGTAACTAACTAGGCCCTCAGAGCTGACAAGGAGCCTTGGTGAAGAAGACAGCTGGTTAAAAAGCAGGATGTGCACAGCCCTCCGGACTCCCAGGCCCAAGCTTTAGAAAGCAGTGTTGCCTGTGTGTGTCATTACCACAAGCCGGGGTCTCCTCAGAGCAGGCACCCACATTTGTCAATGTTCTGGTCCTCCATGCTCACATCAGTCTCACCTGTCCCCATGTTCTTAAACAATGGCCTGGAGCTGAGGGTCCCACACACCTTCATAGGGAGTGAATCACAGACCTGGTGAAAGGGCAGAGGCCTGGTTCTGGTGGAAGTGAAGCAGTAACCCTGTCCACAATCAGAGTGGGAAGCCCAGGGGCCCCAGGCCTGCCTCCCGACCTCCTACAAGCAGAGCACACAAGTTATATTCCTCAGAGAGAAGCCTTGACATGAGAGAGCGGTTGGGAATAGGGTGAACAACAGCTCAGTCCTCTGTGACCTTTCTCCATTCACAGGGAGATTCTGGAGGACCTCTTGTGTGTAAAAAAGCAGCTGCAGGCATTGTCTCCTTTGGACACATTGATGGTTCAGCTCCAAGAGTCTTCACCAGAGTGTCAAGTTTCCTATCCTGGATAAAGGAAACGATGAAACGCAGCTAACTACAGAGCAAACCAGACCCCTCCCTGACTCACCATCTTCGCTACAGCTGAGTCCAGGATTGTCCTAGGACAGAAGCCAGCATCTCAATAAAGGTCTCTTTGCAGAATCAAAAGACTGGTTTTTATCAAAGCTACCAACTCTGTGCTAGGAAGGCCAGTGTCTCACTTCTGCTCTCTGCTCGCCCCATGTCCATACTCACATCTTGTCTAAAGCTCCTGCAAAGCTTTTGCCCAGCCCATTTGTAATTGTCCCACTGTGCAGTGCCTGCCTATGGACATGCCCAAAGCTGAGCTGTTCTGTCTCCCATCTTGGGGTTCAGGGTGAACTTTTGTGTTTCTCTTGGTCATATAGACAAAAGGAGAGGGAAAGCATCATTGTTCAGGAGATTGGGGAGACAGAGCCTGACGTCACTGTAGATGGATCTTCCTGGGCAGAATATCTCTGTCCCACTGATTCACCACTCCTTGTCACCAAGGTGACAGCAATTTCGGTATCCCCTCTTTTTCATCTAGGACAAGTTTCATTATCCTCCTCTGAAAACAGGGCCAAGCTTCCTAGGGCCTCTTAGCTCCACCCCCTTCTGTTTTATGCTCTCACTCTAACAACTTCTATGCTTTACAGTCCATGCTAATGTTTACAAGTCCCCACTTTTTACCCCCTATCTAGGACACCCAAATCCACATGTGATTCCACTCATTAGGGCCTCAGACCTGTGGTGCCAGGTGGGCAGGGAGGTGGCTCACAAGGGTCCAAGGCAGAAGCGGCATCACAGAGGGTCCATGGAGGACAGGGCTCTCAGTGTCTCTCTCCATACCCATGTACCCCACTTCCCACATGCTCAGGACCTCCTGTCCATGGATGAGACTAACCACAGTTGGCTAGGACCAACTCTTTCCATTAGCAATCAAGAAACTATGCCCACAGTCAATGTAATGAACACAATCCTCAGCTGAGGGCTACTCTTCCCAAGTGTTTCTAATTTGTGTTGAGTTGGCAAATTGTGCCCAGCACGGCCAGTGAGATAGGTTTTCTGGTAATAAGAGAGACATAAGGTTATTTGGTTTTCTTTAAAAGAACAAAACAAACCATGATGACCATTTGTTGATAGTAGGTCTGCTGAGAGGTGTGCCTGTAGTGATTCAGACTGACAGGCTCTAAGATGGGAGGAATATTTATTTCTAAACCCATTTGGTCTCACCAGATTATGACCAAGCGAATTGAGGAAATTTAAAACAATTCTATCCAAAGATGTTTGAAGACCAGAACCAGTAATTGTAAATCTTACTCTTTGGGGATTGGTGGCCGTGCTGATGCTAAATAGAGCCCAACCTACCATGTTGATTACAGGTAGTGATGCTGGCAGTAACTTCACTGAAGAAATGGCTTGTTCAGTCCCATTGAGACACTCTATCAATCTATTTGTATGGGCGGTGGAAAAACATATTGAAGTGGCTTCCTTTGTCCTTAACCAATCTAACTAGTACAGCTGCTGCCGATGCCCAGAGATGGTAGTTCAAAGAGACAGGCTCAGCCTGGCAGTGGTGGAGAAAACCTTTGATCCTAGCACTGGGGAGCAGAGGCAGCTGGATCTCTGAGGTCAAGCTCAGCCTAGTATACAAGGCAAGTGCCATAACAGTCAGTGATACACAGAGAATCCTTGTCTCAAAAACAAATAATTGAATACATAAATAAAATAAAATAAAAATGTAAATTAAAATTAAAATAGAGGAACTTGTAAAATTATGAGAATACAATACAATTACCACACTAACCTCATGTTTAATGATGTGTCCTTGGAGAGGTCATCAAGAACATTTATGCTCAGAGAAGAAGGTCTCACTGGGAATGGTGGACGATGAGAGAGCATGATCTGAGGAAAAAAATGACCAAAATATATTGGATATATATATGAAACTGTAAAATAATGAAAAATAAGTTTTAAGAGGGCTTTTAATGCAAAAATAATTGAAATATGGGTAGCATCATATAGATTATTGTCACTTCTGAATTTCATAAGGATCAAGGGATTAAATCATCTCCAATGCAAGAAATTCCTGAAAAGTGTTCATGTGAACTATGGTGAAATCATTTACATTTCAGAGGTAAGAAGACCAAGCTAAGGACATTACCAAAGCATTGTCAAGTTACTTCCAATGTTGTAAGCAATATTTATGTCAGAACTTGGGATGAATACTCAATTACAGATTGAATTTTAGTGGATTTGACTGTCCATTTCATCTTCAACAGAAAATCAAAATCTCAACACCATGTTTAGCAAGGTACATGCTCTAGGCGTTGGTGGATTTACTGTAAGCTCAAATTAAGGTCAATAATTGCATGCTTTTCAAATAAGCTGAATATGATTTTGTATACAGTGACATAGCCTTGTTATTACATTTGAGAGAGAATTTGAAAACAGATATCAATATTTCCAGAAATAATGTCATTTTTTTGTATAATCACAAGTCCGTTTTTCATCAGCATATATGTTATCTGCCAATGTTACCTTCTGATTTTCAATTGGAAATGCCTTGATCTGCAATCCTTCATTCAACCTAAGAACAGTTTTGATCATGTCCCTTCTCTACATTCATGGGCCTCTTACAGGACCTTCTCAGGTGAGAGCTCACCCTTCACAGTCACGCTGGATTCACGTCATCAGCTTTTCATAGCACCTACACTTGTGAGTCACAGGTCTCAGGAACTGAGCATGCAGGCCTGGAGAGACGGCTCAGACATATTAATGGTGGAGACTGCTCTTGCAGAAGGCCCAAGTTCAGTTCTGAGCACCCATGCTAAATGTCTCATAACACTTGTAACCTCAGCTCCTCAGGTCTCCAAGGGTGTGTGTACTCACAAGTACATGCCCAAACCTGAACACAGACACATACACATAATCAATAGTTTAAAATCCTTGACATGAATAGCCTCTAGATATGATGAGGGAACTACACCTGTGAAATATCAGCAATATGACTGCTCAAATAAGACCTGAATAATACAGCACCAGTTGACCTTCCAAAGTATTTGGGGAAAATCAAGTGTCCCATCCCAAGATGAAGAGCAACAAACTATAAAGTGCTGAGAGAGGGAGAAATAGTCTTCTCCAAAGATGAGCTCCCCTAATGATTATTCAATCCCAAGTGGTCAGACCTAAAATAAATATGTATTCAAACAATAATAAACTGACTCTGTAAGCTGCATTTATTTATATTTTTATGTCTGTGTATGTTAAGAGAGTAAAGAGAGAGGATTATAACTGAAGAATAAGAGGCCTTGAATCAGAAGAGGATGGAGCAACCTGGGAGGAGCTAGAGGGATAAAGTGAATGGTATAATTTTATTTTAATTCCAAGTGTTAAGTACACTAACAGTAAAATCAGAACTAAAATATTACAGCCCATTTCAGGAATTCACTGACATTGTAGCTATGTCTAAGAAGGCAGTTGTGTCCAACAAGTCCACTGTTTCTCAAAAGCTATGTCCAATAGCCTGCAAAGGTCATGTTGTCCTCATTCATTCACTATTTTTGTTTGTTTTTTCTCTTTTTTTTCTGAGACAGAGTTTCTCTGTGTAGCTTTGAGTGTCCTAGAACTCACTCTGTAGTCTAGTCTGGCCCTGAACTCACAGAGATATGTCTGTCTCCAGAGTACAGGGATTAAAATGACGTACCACAACTGCTCTCCCTACTTTTAGGATGAAAGCACACTACAAGAAATCCTACTATTTAGAGGTGTTCAATTTCTTTATTAGATATCACTAAATTGGAGCCTGCTCCATAGTTTTAAAAGATTCCCTCCAACTGGGTACCATATAATTAAGATTATTATTTAAGGATTTTGGTGCATACCTGTATGTGCAGACAATGTATCAGTCATATATGGTTCCTTTTCAGGGAGGAATTATCGATTTTCATTATATCTTATATAGTAATGTATATCCCAAAACAGTTATTCCTTCACTGTGACCCAGATATGCCACAAAGTTCCAACCCCTGGACCGGATGAGTAATTTAGATCCAATTAATATATGGACTGCAGTTCACAACTAGGATAAGAAAGACTCAATGGAGACCAACTATGAAAGGAGGAAATTCAAAAAATTCTGAAAATCATAAAGTTATGCAGATAAAACAGGACCTGGGTTGCTCTGGGATTATCTGGATGTGCTCTCTCTCTCTCTTTCTTTATGTCTCTCTCTGTCCCTCTATTTACCCCCCCCCCCACAAACCTACACTCTTCTGTCCCTAGGGCAAGGCCAGCCTGTGTCACCTCCCAGAGTTGATCTCACACAGCTCTAACCATCTGTTCTCTAAGCTCAGATCCTCAGCTCACTCCAGTCTATATTAACCTTTCCATGGGCTGGGTCCCTGTCTGTCTCACTTCTGGATCTAGCTCACTAAATAATCATTTAAGATCTTACCAGGACCTTTTTTTATCTACAGAAAATCCTACGCAATGTTGTAGAAAATACCACTACAGTCTTCAGCAGGAAGTCAGGGCTGATGTAATCTTACTTTTGTCTTAAGAGAGAAATGCTAATACATATTGATCAGGAAACTGATGCTTGTCAATTTTGATTTGTTATTATACTTATGTTTGTATGATAGTAAGACACATATTGGCCACAGTGTATCACTTGCTTTAGAGATTTCTCTGTGACATCCTAGCAGTTTAGGAGAGTCAGTGAGTGAAGATTAATTGATCAGACTATTGGAAAGAATGATTCCTCAGTATGATCAGAACGCCCAGAGGTTAATGAGATGAGGTACTAAAATTCTGCATAACCAAATGTCAACCCTCACAAAATACTGTATAACATAGTCTGTATTTGTTGTCCAGTAACTGTTTCTTCCTTGTCTATATTATATAAAATGCAAAGAAAGAGAGAGCCCCCCCCCCAAAAAAAAAAACTCCTAAAGATTTCTTACCGGAATTCAAAAAAACATGAGAGGTAAAAAATTACCTTCTTTGGGTTCAATGCAGACACTGGACTTCCTGGGTTCTCAGGGCCCCTTAACCACAGCCTCCACATGCTCTACTTTCTTGGTCTTTATCCCATCTCAGCTCATGTCAATGTGGTGACAGTGACATTTTATCCA